CATCACTTAGTTTTTGATAATGTAGGACATGACTAAAAATAAGGAAATGATACCCTTAAATATTTATAATTTCTAGTATTTCTCTTCAAGATCGTTTTGGAGGCAATACAGTGACTTGAAATGTCCAGTGTCATTTCAGAATAAAAAGCTAGTATCTTTAAAATCTCAAGAGTGCTTGCTTACAGATGTAAGTGAAGATACTGTGTGGGATGATCCTTCTAGAGGATTACCTTATTTTTCCTTTCAATTTTGGTTTTAGAAATCTAGGCCTTGCTTGTAGAAAACAAAGGATGGTTTATAAGAACTGTTTGTGGAATGTGTTTGGAGGATTCATTCTAGAACCTTTGTATATTTAATAGTATTTCTAACTTTCGTTTCTTTACTGTTTGCAGTTAATGTTCTTGTTCTGCTATGCAATCATTTATATGCACGTTTCTTTAATTTTTTTAGATTTTCCTGGATGTATAGTTTAAACAACAAAAAGTCTATTTAAAACTGTAGCAGTAGTTTGCAGTTCTAGCAAAGAGGAAAGTTGTGGGGTTAAACTTTGTATTTTCTTTCTTATAGAAGCTTCTAAAAAGGTATTTTTATATGTTCTTTTTAACAAATATTGTGTACAACCTTTAAAACATCAATGTTTGGATCAAAACAAGACCCAGCTTATTTTCTGCTTGCTGTAAATTAAGCAAACATGCTATAATAAAAACAAAATGAAGGAAATAATGATTAACTGGAATTATTATAGTTCTGAATGAGTCTAAAATAACGGAAATAATCCATTGTAGACTTAGGAATACTTTAAACAGTGCTGACAGTAGGCACAACTACCCTATTCTGGGAATGATAGAACTTGCCAGAAATCTACATCTTTTACATAGTACTTAGGAACTCCTTATGTCAACATCATGCTGTGATTGATTATTCATTAAACCTCTTGGGTTAAATAATACAAGAGGTTATTTAGTGTTGATAGGTTTATTAAAATGAAAATTTGGACAAGCTAACTATAAATTTATATTTTCATTATTACAAATTCCTCTTTCCCCTTCCTAAACAAGACATACTAAGTTTTATGTTTATGGCATGATTTAAATTCTTTTTCATTGAATCTTGGTGAGCATTTAAAAAAAAAAAAAACAACACTGGGAGAGGGGTTGGCTTTAGGTATTTTTGTGGGCTGAATTCCAGCTTTTTTGCAGTAACAATTATAACTGGTAATTCATTATTTATGCTGTGCCAGACATTATTCAAGAGACTGTTTTTTTCTTCGTTCTTCACAAAATGCTTTAAGGAAGATTTCCCCGTCGTATCGGGAAACTAAGGCACAGAGTAAAAGCTGTAAATGGCAGAGCCAAGATTTGAATCCAGATTTGGCTTAAATTTTATAGCCAAAGAGCCTGATAAAATTGTGCTCAGTCTTTAGAACTAGAAGGCCTGATGTTAGTTTGTTTTTATTGATTTATTTTTACACTCAAGACTGTTAACTTGAGAAGCTTACACATTGTTATGAAATGGTGTTCCCAACAGAGCTTCACAAAGACTATATACAGTTGCGCTCATAGTAAGATCCTACTGATACTGGTGAGATTTTTACAGTTTTAAACTAAACTTGGATCATATTGTTAAGTTCAACAGTCAATGAGAACCTCCTGTGTGTCTAGCAGTGGGCTCCATTGATAGGATAGTTGTGTCCTGATTCAAGTAAAGGCTGACATTTCGCCTCTTTTTACTTTAATTTTTTTTTCTTTTAAATAAGCCAAGTAAGCAAGAAGAAAAGTGAGAGATAATGAATGCTTCAGTGAGAAAGGACAGGAGTTTGAGCTGTTAAGTAACAACCTAGGGAAAAGACCTGGGAACTACTGTACTATTCTCTTGAAAGTTTGGCCCAGTAAGCTGCTACATCCAGTTCAACTAACAAAATCCTGTATACCACAGAGAAGAATAAAGAGAAAACCAAACTGACAAACATCCTTCTTTTATTTAAGACCAAACTGCAGCTGGAATACCCAGTACAGTTCTACTTACTACACTTCAAGAAAGATCTGAAAGCGGAATAAAGAACCAAAGAAGGGCAGTTCAAGCGACCAAAGGGTGGGTGGAAGGTGCTGCAGTATGAATACTGTACGAATATTTTGACTCTGGTCTGAAAAGATAAAAGAATTATCGAAACTACATGGAATAATTGAAGTCCCTTCAAGTTTGAAAGTAAGCATTTTAGGACAAATAAAAGGAAATTCAACTTTGTACTTGTGGAAACTAATCCCTAAATACGAACAGGTTTATACTGACTCATGGCTTGCAGATCCATGTTAAGTTACTGGAAACTAGGATGTCTGAATATCAAGGAAGACAGCCATAGTCTCTAACAGTGCCTCCCTTGGTCTGTCTCAAACTAAATTGGATGGTAAAAGGTATGGTCCAGTATAAAGTTTTTCTTGGTTATCTCTTAAAAGTCAGTTCCACTTATGCCAATGTTGGCAGGTCTTGCCTTTGTTTATCGCAGTGCCAGTATTCTCTGCTTAACTGTTTGTTTTGTTGGCATCTGAGTTTATTTACTTGTATACCACATGCAGTTTACACCTAACCACTCCCTCCCAGGCTAATTCCACTTATACTTGATACCCACTCATGAGGGCCCGTCTCTTCACCTCTTGACCAGACAGTATGTTCAACAGATACTACCTGAACCCTTACTGTGGGCAGAACATGCTGGATAATTGGAGAGAAGAATAGATGATTATTTAGTTAAATACCTACTGTGCACAGTCTAGTGGATCAGACAGTGTGGCCTCATCTTGAGGTGTATTGCGATATTTCATACCATTCATATCCTAATGTAATTATAAGACCCAATATACTATCAAAGAAAAGTAATTTTATGGTTGTCTGCCATTTAAAAGTATCTAGTATTTGTTGTATCCCATTGATACAAATAATGAAGAAAACCTGTGATAAGCTGATTTGTTATACAGTGATTGAGATACTAGAGTAATATTAAGTTGTTAACTCTTTGGCTTGGTCAAATAAATAGATAAATCCCCAGAATAACAAGTATTTTAACTTTGCATTAAAACAAGCCCTGGGTGCTATAATTAGATTACTCTGAGGCAGACAGCTGTGACCCCAATGGACTTAGTATATTCTGTATTGAAGAAAATGTTTACCAGATTAGACTTTTTAGTGATCTACTTGTACATTTTATAGGGGACATATTCTGTGTATAGTTAATAAATAACTTTATAGTGTCACAAATGTTTTGGATTCCTTAGTTTCTTATTAGGATATGAAGCTTGTTAATCAAAACATTGATTCCACCACATTTGAATTTTTGTTGTATTTTTGCCACATATTTAAAACTATGTCAAAATCTGAAATCTGGAAAGAGTGTAAGCCTTTGGCCATTTTTAAAATGTAGGATTGATTACACATAAATGAAGGGAGAGGTAAAAAAATGAAGGTTGTGTTTTAAGAACAAAAAACACTTTTTCAGCCTGTCCAAACTCAAAAAGGCAGCAGGTACCAGATGAGAATGAATAAATTTTGGCTGCGTTTTCCTTGCTGTTTTTATTTTGAATCAAGTTGGAAATGCTTTTATAGTTTTATTTTTGAGGACACAATAAAAATTGATTAAAACTGAATTTAGCGTTTATTTCAAGATTAAAAATTAGTAAATGTATTTCATACCATTACATAATCATTGCCATTGGATTGGTTTTAATGGTAGTGGTCTTGTGTATTTAATAATACATGTGTAGTTTGTAGGTGTTCTGTCTTCTGTCTCCCCTCTCCATTTCCTTTCAAATTGAGCTTAAGGCCTTCCAGAGGAGAGAATTAATTTGTGTTCAAATGGAGCTTTTGTTTTTACTGTTTAATGGAGCTTTTGTTTTTACTGTTTGGGTTTCTTTGCTTTGGAAAACCTTCATTTATAAGTACAGACACAGTAATTTTAAGTGTAGTAAATTAGAAAGGACCCTGTGGTTTGGGTAGCTGTTGTGTTAGGTAGGGTAATTAATTATATTAGTCTGTCTACTGTGGCTTCCATGTATTATTAAAGGCTGTCAATATTACTAAGCACTTGTATGCTTTCCAGATATTCCCACTTAACCTTAAATCACTCCCAGGAAATGAGGACTTATCCTATTTTTCAAATGAGAAAATTTTCTTCTTCAGAATATCCACTGTGGACAGGAGTTTTTGTATGCATGCCTTCTAACTTTACTAGGTTAGAAGTAGCTTGAGTATATTCCAAGATTTAATGGCAGTTGGAGTTTGGGCACTCTGGGCTGGCTTTCTTTTGGGTCTTCAATGTATTGGGTTTTGGTTTTTGTTTTTTACCATATTCCTAAAAATACTGCGATTAAAGACTGTAACTTCAGCAGTAGCCAGGAAGTCAGGAGGGTCATCAGAGTCGTTAGGGTGTCCTAGGAGGGAAATGTTCTCGATTTTTCAATGATGACCCTGATAGACGAATTACATAACTTGTCTCCAACTATTAGTTTCATCAAGGTATTCTGTTCATCACGGAAGACAACTCTTTTTCTCTTGGGTGTTTTCCTGTCTCTTCCTCCATTTATGTTAGTTATTACTGTTTGTGTATTTGCAAAGCTGGTTTACCATTCACCCTGTGTTAAAAGTGTAGTTGTTGGGTTTTTTGGGTTTTGTTTTGTTTTTTTTGTGGAGTTGGTGGGGATAAGAACTTGAGGCATGTAAAATTTTGTTAGTAATAGTAGTAGTTTGTAAAGAAGTAAAAGGCCTTTGTAATCCAGGCTTGTTTGTTTGTTTGTTTGCAGATCACATTTCTTTGAATGTTGGAGAGTAAAATAAACTGGTTTAGGAGCTCTCAAAAAATAAATCTCGGTTTTTCTGTAGACTTTGTTGTACCTTTCAGGTATGACTACCTCAGTGGAATCTGAGGTTTTAGAGATAAATTTAGAGTCGTTGCCTATAAAAATGGGGCCCAGGAGAACATGGGAAGCGGCAAAATTTAGAACCACTTGAAATCTTCATATTTTGCACTTTATTTTTTTTTTTTTTAAAGATAAGGTTGCCATAGAGTCTTATACTATCACTGCCACCAAAATACATAATAGAAAGCTCACACAATAGCCTTGAGCAACTCTGCCCAGTAGATTCTACCATGTTTTATGCCTCTGGCAGGAACATTTTCTGGAAATTCACGAAACCATGCTTATTGAAGGCTGACTTAGACTTCATGAGTGCTTTTTGTGGTTTTCCAGGCAGTTTCTGTAATAGCCCTGGCTGTCCTGGAACTTGCTCTGTAGATCAGTGTTTGGATTAAATGTGTGTCAACCTGCCAGTCCCAAGTGCTCTTTATTTTTTGGTGTTTCTGCCTAAGTAATGGGCTTATACAGGTATGCTTTATTGGTGTCTAATAACGTGTTTATAAGGTCAGCAAACATTTTAGTCCCAAACTAGAAATCCAGTTATGTTTTTGTATTATTATAACATACAAAGTGTGTATGCAGAGACACTAAAGAATTTAACATTAGCTATGTCTACAGAATTACATTGGGACATCAAATGATAATCTAACTTTTCCTCTAAATAGGTCCTGCAGTGTGCATGCATAGCTTTCATGTGGGATTGTTCAACTACTTTAAAATGCCCTCCTTGGCAAAATGTATCCACCAGAAAGCAAGCTATGCAATTGCTAATGATCACACTTGGATTTTTGAGACTGGAATTCTAAACCAGACTGTTAGAGATCTGGCTCCCTCTGCCAGCAAACTACGAATTTTTGCTAGTTTGACTTGTTAATTTTGTACTTAATTATAAACTGGGGATAATCTTTCTTTTTTTTTTGAGATTCTTTATTATTGTAAGGTTGCACAGGTGATCTTTTTACCCCCTTGGCAGTATAGGAAAGTAAGTCAGAGTCTACGTGGGCATGGTGGTACACACCTTTAATCTCAGCAGTCAAGCTACAGAGACCCCCATCTCAAAAGAAAAAGGTCTAACTTAACTCCCATAGAGCAAGCAAAAGTAGTGCCATCACAGTCATCTCAAGATAATTTAAATAAAAACAATATACTGGGGAGGAAAAAAATTTTTATTTTCAAATTTTTTGTTTTAGAATCAATCATAATCTATGAGATTGTCCTTTAGGATGGGCAATGCCTGCTCTGAACTTAATTGAGGAATACAATGAAAATTGAGAAAATACAATATAAACATTGAAAAGTAACTTGCTATTTGGGTTAACCACCATGCAAGAGATTACTTTTTTCATAAATAATGCTGGGTTGCACTTAATCGTCAGTTACTTTTAGGATTGATAAAGCCAAAATGAGTCTTTGGGTTCAAGAAGATTGGGGAGGGAGTCTTAAACTGCATCTTAACATCTTTTAAAAAACAGGAAATATCATAGCAGCTTAAGTCTTTTCAGCTAACAGATTTGCTTTGTAGTTCATGCCAGTCACATTGATTTACTGGCACTTAAGTACAAGGGCAGTCTTAAAAACTGGAGACCTTTAAAATTAGGCCATAGCATAAAAAAAGTTGAGGGCCTGACATTCGGCAAATTCACATTAAAAAATAGTCTCACTTTGTAGAATAAAAGCCAAGAAAACTTTACATATGTTACAAACTTATTACATTTATTTACATGGCTCTTTCTTCCCTAAAAACTTAATTTTCACATATATAACTCCCTGCTTCAAGCAAGCTTTGTATGGATGAGGCCAGACCACCTCAGTAGCTTTGGGGGATGCTATAGCATAAAAATGTTCTTTGAATGTTCAATACTACTTGGTATATCTCTGTCCACTACATTTAAGGACGCACGCAGCACTGGGCTACCTCCTTGGCCTCGTTCTAGTAAGCTCCAACTGCCCTTTATACATTTACTACTGTACAACCTAGGACGTAGCTTTTTTTTTGATGATTCGGGTGACCCTAGGATATATAACTCAACTGTGCACCTTCTCTTCAGTCTTTTTCATCTTTCTTCAAATGAGTATTGACCCATAAACCTTATTTTTCAGATCACAATAAAAAGGCTGATTACCATTTCCCAAATCTAAACTTGAATTTAGTTAGCAACACTACTACCAAGAATTGATTAGTCACTTAAATTGAACTGACACTATTGCAATATAGTGCACACAGCACATAAATCAATGTCTGCTCAATACTTAAAATTAGCAGTTTTTCATGAAATGTCAAGCCTATTGATGGCTATATGTAAACATCACAAATTTTAAAATTAGTATTTATCTAATTTTTATACCTGTACTTTAAGTAAGGTTTTAAGTTGAAATGTCATTACTTCCTTATCTGAAGGGTTCAAGGAAACGGGAACCCAGTGGCTTGGTGGCTTGGGAAGAACACTTGGTGATGGTGGTTCACTAAATTTGGCTCCAGCATAGTTCTGATTAGCTTGAGACTTAAAAAGCAAGCTAGGACTTGATAAGCTAGCATTCCAATTTGAGTTGTTAGAAAGGCTCTTGTTCTTTCCTCCGTTTTGCATAGCCTGCCATGCAGCTGCTGATGGATTGTACCCATGTCCTCTTTCTTTTTTCTTATGAACAATCTTCATTTGAGAATTCTGATCCTTGGTCTTCTGTCTATTGTGCTGTTGTTGGTTCTTACTAGCATTTCTTGATTGAGGGTCTGGAATGTTATACCTCTCTCCACCACCCATTTTCTGCTTCTTTGTCACCTGTAAGCAAATAAATGCAAATAACAGTAAAATTCTACATGTCCCTTTTCAAGTTTCCATAGCTCCAATTCTAGAAATTGCAGATAAGCTAGGCTCACCCTGCCAGAGCCATCTACCTCAAAAATAAAGCAAGTTCTGAGCCAAGTTAACAGTCTGTAAAATGGATCCAAGTAAAACAAACAAACACTTAGCTATTCTAAGAAAAATGACCCCACGCACTTAAATCAACCCCTTTTTGGTAGAGTCTCTTAAAATAGACTGCCCTCCAACTTGAAATAGTCTTGCCACAAACTCTGGAGTATTGGGGTTATCAACATTCATGGCTACAGTCCTTAATAGTTCATAATTGCTTCTGTCAGAAGATAATGGCCCCATTATGATGTAATCTTTATACCTTTCAGTCTGCTTTTCAGATTGCAGGATTTCCACTACTTGTCCTCTTCTTTGCTGCCAAGCCCAAGATAAGAGACGTTGCTTTCTGCTAGATCCTTTCCTTTGTCTCAATACACAAGTTTTCATGAGCCAATCTGCTGATTTCAGCCTAGGAGCTGAGGCCAACATCGAGTCTCCTCAGCACACAAATGTGAGAGAAGTCCTAGCTAGAAAAGGAAAGAGAAATCACTTTAAGACCACCCAAGGAAGTGGTCGATTAGACATAAATGAACGGCTATTGCTGCTTCAAGGCTGAAAGTAAGATGTTTGACTTTCTTTGACCTGGTAATTGTTACCTTACAACTCTTGGGGACATTTTAGAAGACTTAACTCCCAAGTCCTACAAGTTTTAAAGTCAAAACTAAGGAAGCGTTCGTTTATGTGACACCACGAAACTAGGGTTTCATCCGAATCTAACGCTTTTCAAACCCACCCCAAGGCTCTGTTCCCAACAACGTACCTTATGCTTTTTTACTTATGACTGCGGTGCTGGTACCAAGTTTTCGCAAACCAGAACCACCTTACATGTTTAGCCATGCACGTCTCCCCCAAGCGAGCGGTTCGTCAGCACTTCATTCAGTTCTAACTGGCCAAATTAGCGAACGTCCTCACCAAGCTGGGAGGGCCTCCAATTTTAATACTCGGAAGCCCGTGTTCCCGGTCACCCGCAAGGCGAGCCCGCTGGCTCTCCTCAGCTCCCGGGGAGACGCGCCTGCCCGGCCCTGCTTCCTCCTCAGCCGAGCCCAACAATGGTGCCCGCGGTGGCCAACATGGCCGCCCCCGCCACACTCACCGACTTCGAGTTCTGGTGGCGGCGGCAGCTCCCTCTCGACCCCCAGGCCTCCCTCCCTATCCAGGGAGAAACGATGCACGGATCAAACAGGCTACGTGCGAGTCACAGATCACAGCTCAGCCTCAGACCAACCTCCTCCTGCCTTTACCGACAAAATGGAGGCCGCTGTGAGCGCGGAAGAGGGCCGGTGACAGCGCAGCCAATGAGGACACAGCAGCGCGTGCCGCGGCCAATGAGGCGCCGGCCACCGCCTGTTGCTGGGGCAGGCCGGAGGAAGTGCGGGGAGGCTGTTGTCGTGGTTTGAAATCCTGCGGGAGGAGCATGTCGGGAGTAACTGCCCAGGCGCGGCCGCCGCGCTGCGGGAGCTCCCGCGGGCAGCTGCTCGCCGGGCCCGCTCTTGGCTTCCGGGACCAGGCCCACGCGCGGCCGCCCCGTCTTTGTCTCTGGTGTCTGCCCTGCAGTCCTTTCGCGGCCCCAGAGGCTGCAGAGGTGTGCCCCCACCCAGAAACCGCAACCATTCTGCGCACGACCGTTTTCACTTTCTTCTGCCTGTCCCCTCCCATCTAACTTTACTTTTTTCTCGGGACCTGAGACACCACCATCAGGGCCTGCTTTTTCTAAACACGGCGCTGGCTGGGCTCTAAGACTTGGGTTGTTTTGTTTGCCTTGTTTAGTAAGTGGAAAAAACAGGAAAGATTTGAGGGAAACAAAACAAAACACTCCAGAATGACAAAGTTCAGGGAAGAAATGAGATAGATTTATCTATCTATCTATCTATCTATCTATCTATCTATCTATCTATCTATCTATCTATCTATCTATTTTAAAGAAAAGACGTATTTCCCAAAGTCAACCTTTTAAAGGCAAACACTGATTTCTGTGAATTCTGGGGCTCGTTCATGACTGTAATCCCAGCTTCTCAATTTCTAGGTTAGCCTGGACTACATAGCAAAACCCTGTCTCAACGAAACATCACTGACCCCAAATTGTGATGCAGAATAAAATTTAAGCCAAAAAAATTTAAACACGTTAAAAACCGTTGCCATCCAGAATTAACTTGTCTTGTCCTCGGTTGCCCCAGAATTTTGCAAACCTGAACACATGAGTATTTACTCTGCTTTCTACCTCAGGCTAGACTTTTGCTTACATCATTTCATTTTTCACAGCAATTTTTAAGGACAAGGTGCTGTTTTGATCTCCATTGTGGCGATGAAGTATCTGGGATTCAGAAAACCTTGTTGCTATACTCTCAAGCATGATGCCACAGAGAGATTCCAGCACCTAGTCTCATGTGTGTTTGTGTTCTCCCTGCGCCTAAAAGGCGCTTCACCTAGAGGATGTTGTTATCATTAACAGAAGGTTTGGGTAGCTTGAAACCTATGTCGTGCCATCTGGACACTCTCCCCAAGGTCAGAATCAGGCTGGGAGAGCATGGTTTTGGTTTTCACCATGTTCCTGTCTCAGCATCATTCATCAATAGCTACCAATAGCTCACTGGAGCCCCTAACGGGACCATGTGTGAAAAATAATACCTTCTTCAGAACATCTGATCACCCTCTGCCTGCCTGATTCCTTCCTTCCCATCTGTCACCTATCTATCTATCTATCTATCTATCTATCTATCTATCTATCTACCTACCTACCTACCTACCTACCTACCTACCTACCTACCTCTGTATGAGTGGTTTTTTGTTTACGCATGGCATGCTTGCAGTGCTCTGGGAGGCCAGAAGTGGGCGCCAGAGTCTCCTTAAGGCGCTATAGATGCCCTTGATCAGCTCTGTGCATGCTGGTCCTTCAAAAGAAGGTGGATCTCTGAGTTCCAGGCCAGCCTGATCTACAGTGTGAGTTGCAGGACAGCCAAGACTACCCAGAGAAACTTTGTCTCGAAAAACAAAACAAAGTAAAACAAAAGTAGGAAAATGCTGATGGACACCTCTCTGAGGATGCAAGTCTCAGTAAGAGGAAGCAAGTAGCTAACAAATGCACCAGTATTGTTTTTGAGGCGGGTTCTCACTATGTAGCCTTGTCCGGTCTTGAATTCAGAGTCAGAGGTCTGTCTGCCTTGTCCTCCCTAGTGCTGGGACTAAGGGTATGAACCACTAGAGCCTGTGGGTGGTTTACAATATTTATTTTGCCAAAATTTATCTAGTTCTTGCTTTGGGGCTGTGCCCTCTGCCACACCCTAAAGGTTACAAAAGCAAACGAATCCTTCCGTGAATCCAAAAGGAGGAAAAGCCCTTTCCTATTTGTCAGCGAAGGCAGCTGAGGTTTGAGAAGGTTTGTCTTGGTTCTCTGCAGTGAGCACGTAAGCTGCTCATTGCTAGGAAGTTAGAAGTACCCTTCCACCGCTAAGGAGGTCCAGCCTGAAAGGTTTCTACAGGGGAATCGTCATTGTAAACCAGCTGCAAAGGGGGGGGGGGGGGCACCGGCAGAGTGTTGTCTGGTGTAGCTGAGGCCCTAGCTGAGTTCAGAACTTCTGGGCTCACATGGAAGTTGACTGCTGTGGGGGTGAAGAAAGGGTGATTCTGGGAGCTCACATGCTGCAGAGACTAGGCAGTGAGCCCCAAATTCAGTTAGGGGACTCATCTCAAAAAGTAAATTGAAGGCTGGGAGCAGTGGCAATCCCAACACTCAGGGAAGTGGTGGCAGGTGAGTCTCTGAGTTCGGGGCCAGCCAGGCTTAGTACGATCCTGTTCCCCACCCCTCCAAAAAAAAGGGGGGGAGAGGGGGAGCTGGTGAAGTCGCTTAGCAGGTCAAGGTCCCTGCTGCCAAGCGGAGGACCTGAGTTCTGGGACCCGCACGGTGGAAGGAGAGAGCAGACATCCACACCATACGATGGCATACACATGCACATAGAATAAATGAAATAAATAATGTAAGCCAATAGTGTAATAAGCCATCGAGGAGAATACCCAGTGTCAACTTCTGGCCTCAACAGGCACACATGTGCCCTCAAAGACACACCACACAGAAAGACCAGGTCGGGGTTTGGGGAACAGAGAGAGAGAGAGAGAGACAGAGTGAGCTGCAGGGCTCTCATGTTGTTACCGAACTGGTATGAAAACCCACATCTCCTTCCTCACACCCTGAATTTTTTTTTCCTGGGGAAGGATCTGGGGCTGGTTCCCAGAGAACTTGCGAGTCTATTGTCAGCCACGCCAGTCGTCTGGATTCTAATTACCCAACGGAGCACAGGAAGTTCGTGGGAAACTCCCACCGCTCTCGTGATGCTCAGGGAGGAGCTCGGCCTTCGAGACCTCAGTCGGGAGCTGGGGGATGGGCGCTCAGTGTTTCAGTCCAGTTTCTCACTGGTTCAGTCACTGCTCCCGAGTTATTCTCTGGCAGTCCCTTGCCATGGAGCTGTGTGTGTGGAGTCCCTGTTCCTTACATAGCTCTCAACAACACATGAGAGAGCATTTCCCAAACAGCCAGGTTCGTTTAGCTTCGGTTTGTTGTGGTCGTAGGTTTTTGTTTGAACAGGCTGTCGTGTACCTCGGCTGGCCTCAAACTTGCTTTGCAGCTGAGAACGTCCTTGAATTATCTCATTGCTTGCACTTCCCAAGAGCTGGGGTTACAGGTGTACACCACCATGCCCAGTCTGGCTTATTTATGCTTTTGAAAACATTAATATATTGTGAACATGCTTCCGTGTATTATAAACATCCATTCGTGATTATTAGCGTTTCATGCTGTCACCATATAACACTAATTTTATGTCAGCCACTGTTTACAGTCTTCGATATTATATGCTGGGCTCTGGGTAGGGTATCCGTATACATTTTCATTTCCTTACATAAATTTCCCTTAAACTCCCAACTATGAAGTTATTAGGTCATGAGATAAGCATATAGGCTAAGTGCTGGTTAGTTTGTCAACTTGACACAAGCTAGGGTCATCTGGGAGGAGGGAGCCACAACTGAGAAAATGCCTCCCTCAGACTGGTCTGCAGGCAAGTCTGTTGGGCATTTTCTTGATGGATGATTGAATGGGCGGGCCCAGCCTCCTGTGGGCAGCGCCACCCCTGGGCAGGTGGGCCTGGGTTGTATAGAAAAGCAGGCGGAGCAAGTCGTGAGGAGCAGGCCAGTGAGCAGAGTTCCTCCAAGGCCTGTGCATCAGCTCCTGCCTCCAGGTACCTTGAGCCTCAGCTTGACTTTATCTCCACAACAGCAGAGAAAACAGTAAGGCCAAACACCTTCTGGGAACTATGTTTCCGGAGACTGGAGATGGATCCAACAGTTAGTGCTTCAGACACAAGCATGAGAACCTAAATTCAGATCCCTAGAATTCACATAAAATGCTAGACTCTGCCAAGCATGTACGCAACCGCGGTGCTAGGATGGAGGAGGGGAGAGACAGGTGGATTCCTGGAGCTCATTGGCCAGCTAGGCCAATCAGTGGGCCCCCGATTCCATAAGGGACCCCATCTCAAAATAACAATAATGTGGAGAATGGCTGAGGAAGATCCTCAGTGTCTACCTCTAGCTGCCTCATGCATCCATGCATGTGCCCCCACACTCGAACATGTGTGCGCACGCATACACGCAGAGATAAAAAGAAAGATAAAAGAAATTATGTGTTGCTGGGTGGTGGTGCTACATGCCTTTAGTCCTAGGACTTGGGAGGCAGATCCACTCGGATCTCTGTGAGTTTGAGGACAGCCTGATTTACAGAGGGAGTTCCCTGTCTCAAACAAACAAACAAACAAACAAACAAAAAAGAGAGAGAAAAAGAAAAATTATGTGCCCACTTAAGTCTGCAGCATCAGGGTTCAAGCCGAGCCCCTGCTCTGCAGACACGGTTCATAATGGCTGCTCTTCTGACCTTGGATCTGTAAGGGGAGCTGCTGAAACATCAAAATCGTTTTTTAAAGGTGTTTTTAAGGTCGCAAACCATATATGGCCTCTTATACAATATGCCCCA